CCCCAAAACCCCAAAACCCCAAAACCCCAAAACCCCTATCCAAACAATATTACTTGAAAACAACAATTTAAGCACTCACCTACTGGTTTTTATGCCTGGTAGCTGGCTAAGGACTGCGACTGGCTAAGCTTCAAGGTTTTTTCACGAAGTGCATGAGCTTTGTGGTGTCTTTGGAGGTGTGTGTACACACCGTTTTGGTCAAAGACGGATTTTTGGAGGGTGAAAATGTGTGAGTCGTAAGGTCTGATGCTGGGATTAGCCTAGATGAGGGAAGTGAGGGAAATGGGGGAAGAGGGGAGTTATGGGTGGTAAAAGGGTTATAAGGTCTTACTAGAGTCTGACTGAAGGCTGGTGTGCGTCTTCTCTTCTTTCTTTTCTTTGGACTTGCTTGTAATTCAGTGTTTGGATCCAAGAAGGATTTGCTCTTACTTTTACTTTTAAAAGTGGGAGTTAAAGAGGACTTAAATCTTCCAGAAGGAATTTTATTCCTTGTTCTCCTTAATTTGGTAGGATCTAGAAGGATTTATAAATTCTTAAAACTCCTTACCTCTCAGTGTGAGATTAGGCTGGAATGTGCAATTATTTTAACTCATTTTTCTTCTTTTTCTCAATATTTTTAAGATATTTGCTCATCCTCTCCTGGGACTTTTCAAAGCTCATCGTATATAACTGGTCCCATCTCTTAATCTCAGAGTCTATCATCCCATTTCCCATCCGAGGCGAATACTGAAAATATTGCGATTCAGGCTTTGCTTTGGTCAAAAATGCCTTATTTCGACACCTTAAATTTCTTGGTCAGCACACTTCTCTCCTTACTCTTGTTTCTTTTCTGTATCGTGCCTCTTAAAGAGTTCGAGCCTGACCGGCTCTTGTGTCTCGAAGGTGTCTTGGTTCGGATAGGGCTTTTACTACTTTTCTTCATAATTTTCTAAATTTTATCTCAAAACCAATACTTTCTTCTTCTTTTTGAGCTTCTTCTTGCGACCAGTTCGCTTCTTGGTTGAAGCCAGGTTTGGATTCGAGCCAAATGAATCGTTCAGAAAGGAAATCTCTTGGCTTGTAGGCGAGGATGGAGTTGGAAAGCTAGAGTTCTCCTCTTTTAAGAGTAACTTCTGGGCTTTGTCAGCAAAACCATCCCCAGGGGAATACGACTGCTTGATTGAGATATCGTTATTGCTATAATATCAGGTATGGCCTTATTACTGGTATAACTGTGTGTCCTGTGGGTTGTGGTAAACCTGATACTCGTCAAAGTGAGGACTGTATTTGTCACCCTCTTCATCCATCATAGAGTTTATCAGCTGTTTAAACATTTTCCTTGAACTCATTTCGCTCAGGTATCCTCTATACATGCATTATGAGACTTGCAGTCTAAAGAAGGTTGCAAAAGAACTACAGGAATTGGAAATTTTGCATACTTTAAAAATATATTTTATCAACATGAAAAATTATCTGGGGTTTTGGGGTTTTGGGGTTTTGGGGTTTTGGGGTTTTGGGGTTTTGGGG